CACTGTCAATGACATGCCTGTGAGGCGCTCCATGGATGAGACTCTCCAGCTGGTGCAGACCTTTCAGTGCAGTGATGATCATGGGGAAATCTGTCTCACTGGCTGGAAGCCAGGCAGCGACACCATCAAGCCCAGCATGGATGACAGCAAAGAACACTCCTCAAAATAAAACTAGGCTGACACACAGGTGCCAGGCTTGGGCTCTTGGACCCTACCTGGGAGCCCTGGGCTGGATCAGGAAAGTGCAGACCTGCCACTTCATATTCCATAGTCTGTGACCCTAAAGGTCTTGTCTTAGGCCTTTGGTGAACCGTGACCCATCCATGGATCTGCCAAATAAGGAACAGGATAGAGGGGACCAATAAAGTATTAGGGACAAAAAAAAAAGAGATGTACTAATAACTTTGTAAAAACTCATATTGATAGTTTCATCATAAGCATATTACAAACTCCAGCATTTCATGTCTTGTTTGTACAAGAAATGACCTTGACCATGATTTTGGTGACACAGATCACTAAACTGTAGGAAGTGTCCTGACACCAAACATATCCAGGCTGATGACATTAAAGATCCACATTGGGACCAACGAGGTCACTACCTCTGTGTTCACAGCCTCTCCTCATGATCCTTTTGTTCTTCTTGTCCCTCTTAAAAAATCCCCTTCCTGTGCTGAAATATTAATATGGCCTTTGAGAAAAGAGAGCTTTACCTTCCATATTGGTGGCAACTGAACAAAACCACTTTTCTTTATCTCAACACCTGCAACCTGAGTATTGCCTTTTAAAGTGGCAGGCAGTCAGACCTGCATTTGGTCCCACCAGGATGGTGTCTTCAGGAGAGGGCCCTCATTTTGGTAGATACAAGTAAAATTCTTGTAAGTCTTCATGGTGTAGAAACACCAGCCAGCTCTCAGGGCTCAACGAGAAAGTCACTAACCTCATCCTGGGCAACCTCTTGACCTAAGCATCTCCCAAAACCTCACCTCCTAATAATATCCTCTTTGCAGATGGAGATTTTAACATATACTATTGGGATAATAGCTGCATTCAGTCCACAGCACTGCCCTGAACCTCTGAGGAGAGGGTGGTCCTGCCAGCACCTTGGCCCTGGTCCAGAGAAGGGATTTCACACACTGACCCCAGACAGTATGGATTCCAAGGCCATGTGTGGGACACTTGATTCAGTTGTCCTAGGAATATAGTGCTGGCTGTACATGGTCTTCCTTTAGCCAGGGTGTCCCCATGCTGCTCCCTGATGTGTGATGGCATCAGCATTGGCCCAGGGACAGGGACACTCACAGAGCTCTGATCTCAGATGAGGAGGCTCCTTATGATGTCAGCCTGAGTGAGAGCTGAAAGAACATTATGATGGCATAGACTGTGCTGGAACCTGGAACACTTGTAACCCCAGGAACTTACTGTCACAATGTCATCTCTGTGATGCTTGTCCAGAGACAAATGTGGAAAAGTCATCCTTGTGAGTAGGGGCTGGAACAGTGCTCCATTCTCTATACTCCAGGTCATCATGGATGGGGAAATAAAATAAGTCATCTCAGACACTGTTCCCACTCAGCCAAGGAAAAAGGCGGTGATTCCCTCTCTTGCAGAATTCCCCAAGGCGTTGTGTTTGATGGCTCACTGGTTAAGGGGTTTAGAGTGGGTTTAGGAAGGATGAATGTACAGGTGATCTCATTACAGCACTATGTTAACGTTTACAGAGAATAGATGTCATTTTGAAGAAAAAAAATGTAAGAAGCACACCGGTTTACAGGAGACTGAGATGAGATGAGTAAATATAAGAGTGTAAACATAAGAGTGCCAAAGGGTTTAGGGTCAGGGTCTGCGAATGGTGTAAACTTCTTTCCCAGCATGAGCTGGTTAATCTAGCTTTTCAGGAAAAACAAAGCCTGCTTCAAGGAATTTACCTCTAGGCCTGATTGCTCCTGGGAATGGCCTGACCCAGTTTAGGGCTCTCTCCCGTATTGTTTCAAGCCTGAGCCAGGCGGGGAGAGCAAAGCTTCCAAGAGATAAGACTTCTTTCAGGTAGCTTGAGGAGTCCTTCCATGTCAAATCTGGGCAATGGAGGTCTTTCGCCCTATCTCTGTGTCCCCAAAGTCATTCCCATGATGGAAAGTCATTTCCTTGTGACTGTGCCTGTCTTAGGTTGTGCTGCCATTGAGAGGTCTGTCCCATCAATGACTAACCAGCCATTTTTCATGGCCAAGCAGAGTGATGTGAGGGAGGCAGGGTCTCTGTGCCTGCCAGAGACACAGGTTTTGTCTCCTCAGTGGCCTGTTTTCCCAAGGTTTCCTTGTCCAGCTCTACCTTGGGGCCTTCTTGCCCATTGGTAAGGCTACAATTCCTGAAACCAGGTGGGGTGTTTCCTAACATCCTTGACTTTCACGTACTTACTTTTCACCAAGCCCAATTCCATTCTCCCTAAATAGGAGAATGTCCTAGATCTTGCTGGGGAGTCACTGAAGTCCACATCCCCAAACGGGTCCCTGACCAAGAGTCCCAGATGATGCCTCTATGAATATCCCTCACTCAGATGGCAAGATGTTGCCAATGTGTCCCTGCACGAATCACATTAAATAGCAAGTGTGCTTTCAGAAGCATACTCCGTGCCTCTTCCTTGCAGTGCATCTGGTCTCCTGAAAACTTCTCAGAGTTTCTGATGAGTCCCTGACATCAGTGGCCCCAGTACCATGTTCTAGGCTGTCAGAGGAAGTTAGGAGGCTCATCACCCTGTCGTCTACTCAACCCAGCCCAGCTGTCACCCTTCTCAGGGTTTTTGACACACTCAGGATGTAGGTTGTCACACCGAGTCTCTTGCACAACAATGCACGGCCATGTCCTCAGAATTCAGGCCATTGACCTGCAGGTAGGCAGTGCTGACAGAGGTGTCCATGGAGAATGCAAATCATCCAGAGAAACCTGGGGCATACGTTGGTTTCCCAATTTGGTGCTGATCTATCCTATTTATTGCAGGTCACCTTCTAGGGTTGTCGCACCCAGTTCAAGCATAGTTGGTGAAGGTGTATCCAGAAGCCTTGCAAGAGACCTTCATAGATGTCCCAGGCCTCCTCACCTCACACCTGAATGTACCAGCTGCACCTGGGAGCGGGAACCTGTGGAGAGGAGACATCAGTGGGAGTATATCCTCCTTGGCTGTCCCTCATCGCCTCCTTAACCCAGAGCCTGGGGAGTCCCTTACCTGTTGCCACAGCCACCAGAAAGGGGCCTCTCCAGCTCCAGTCCATGATGAGGGGCTGTACCTTCAGGACACTGCAGAGGAGGGCGTGGCTTTAATTGATGCTCTCAGGGCACACACAAATCTGCATTTGACCTAGTTTTCTTCACATTTGTATTTTCATAAGGAAGTTAAATCATATTTGCATATTTGTTTCTACCTGAGAAAAGATACAGGACAAGGGACAATGGCCTTCAGAAGACTGAGATTCCACATCCTCATCAATTTTGGAGGCTGTGTCCCCAGTCCAGCCCCTCAGCGCTGTGCAGACATAGCTCCTTCCGATGAGGAACCAGCTCCCACAGGACATGCTGCTCATTGTGAACCCACCTTTGAGCGACCATAGACCACTGGACCAGTCTGGGCTTCATATGTGAAAGCTTTTATCCTAGATCGGTGTGTGTCTATAAATTGCTACATCAAGTTTGTTAATAAAACCGTCACTATTCTCTGTTCTTTGGAATTCACATACAAAAAAACCCTCGAAATAACCACAGTGACTGTGGTTCTCACATCTTATCAACTTTGGTAAATTCTCTGATCAAAAAGGACGTTAACAATCACCATATTCAACTCTTATTTTAGATGTGTCCATGTAAAAAGGAAGGCGCAGGGTCTCACAGGAAATTTCTCCCCAGCTCCCCCTGCACCTGCTCCAGGGCAACAGCTCTGAGCCCATGAGTCCCGTGGGCCCCTGCTGCCCAGCCAGCTTCCTGCAAGGAAGGGTCCTGTAGGGGCTCACAGGGCATGGACATCTCAGTGTCACTATTTCAGAGTTAAAATATGTGCCCTCACTTGAGGATGCTCCCTCAAGGACCCCATGTGCATCAACACCCCTGCACAGAGAGCTGGCCTTACTAAACCCCAGTGGCTCTGCAGTGAGCCCAAACCTAAGCTCTATGAAGCTACCAGGGAATCTCTTCCCCAGAGCTTACAGATGTACTTACAGAGTTTATACCTCTGAGTCCAGCAGCTCTCAGGGGCTTTGGGGACTTCTGATGTCCTCATGTTCCTCTGCTTGAAGGTCCTATCTGAGTATCACTGCTCATGGTACAAATCCCACTGCAATTCTACTGTTTAATAAATCTCTCTCTCTCTCTCTCTCTCTCTCTCTCTCTCTCTCTCTCTCTCTCTCTCTCTCTCGCACACACACACACACACACACACAGAGTGATAATTTTACAGATAATAACTCCAGTTCCTACTTCTCCCCTGTTCCTAGCACATAGGCAGGATCCCCACTTTCACCACAATTATATCAGTGATGTACTTGAAGGACAGCAAAAAAGGAAACATGATTGATATGAAGACTCTAGAGAGCCCTCCATTGTGGCTGCCTGTTCTCCCAGCACCTGGAACCAGTAGAGGCCATGGTGAGAAGATCCGGCCTTGTCCTCGGGAGGTTCAGACGCAGGGAAAACTTGTCCATTGTGTGCAGCCAATACTGTCTTGGTAAGGGTGTGGCTAATTTCTCTGATCTACAATGTATAGGTCCCCATTCTCAGAGTGCACTTCCTGAAGCCTCGAGGATAGTAACACAGTGGACACTAGACCAAGATTTCCCAAGGAGCAGAAGCAAGTGGAGATGCAGGAACAGTGGAGGCAGAAAATTTCATCCTGGCTTTTCAGAGTCTGTGGAGCATTGTCAGTGGAGATTTCAACTGCATCATCTGCTGAATTGAGGGCCACCTGGAGCTCAGCATCCCTGTTTCCTGCAGAGAGGTTTGTGTTTGGGCTCTTGCTCACTTCACCTCACTGTGCCTCCTGCACAGTAATACACAGCTGTGTCCTCGGTGCTGACAGAGCTCAGCTGCAAGGAGAATTGGTTCTTGGACATGTCTCTGGAGATGGACACTTGGCTCTTGAAGGACGGGGTGTAGTAAGTGCTTCCACCACCATTTATGCCTCCGATCCACTCTAGCCCCTTCCCTGGGGGCTGGCGGATCCATCTCCAGTCATAACTACTGGTGATGGAGTATCCAGAGACAGTGCAGGTGAGGGAGAGGGTCTGAGAGGGCTTCACCAGTCCTGGGCCTGACTCCTGCACCTGCATCTGGGACTGGACACCTGTGGACAAAGAGCACCAGTCCCATATTATTGTTCAGTCACCCTTATATCATAGACCCCTGTCTGACATCTGAGAAACTCACCCTGGGGGGCTGTCAGCAGGCACAGGAGGAGACCCAGCAATCTTATCTTCTACACACAGGCCTGCCTTTCCCAGAGACTCAGTCCTGTGTGAGGAGAGAGCTTTGAGTCCACACAGCCAAGGGGAGGATATAACCAGGAGCTGAAAAGGAAATTTGCATGTGGGCAACTCTTTTCTCAAAAGTGGGGAGAGACTGAGGCCCCTGCCCTTTTGTGCCCTGAATTTATTACTTCTCTTAGTCTCAATGGTATAAGTCAGGAATGGGAGAGGACTTGGGTTGTTAGTCAACTTTGATTCATGCTAATGGACAACGCTTCATTCTTTTTTTAGCAGTTAAATCTGGGCTGGATGAAGGATCACATAATTTCAATTTCATAGATTTATACAGGTGGATATTAAAACAGATTAACCTTATGCACAAACATCTTCCAAAGTCCAAAGAAATGCAAGTAGACACATCCTTTCCAGATTGGATAATCATAATATTATATGAAAAATAACTTGATGTAAACTTTCATGTGCAATAATGCAAATTAAAGAACTCTCTTTCCCTTGCCCTGGCTGAAGCCCCTGTGCTTGCAGATGGCAGAGCAGGTGTAGCCTCTGTCTCAGTCCAGCTCCAGGGATTGGGCCAAACAGTTTAGGACCTTGTGCCCAGAGTCCAACTCAGACCCTGAAGCTGACACAGGTGTTAGACATTCTGTGTCCTTCCTTCAGTCTCAGTTCCCCCAGGGCAGTCCAGCCCCTTCCCTCTGGTGAGCCACTCAGGAGGCCTCCCAGTTTCCTAGACCGCATGGTCCCCTGAGACTCTGCAGTCACCTTCCCCCTTAGGCACGCAGGCACTGATTCTGGGCCAGTAGGAGTCCTGAGATACGTGAGGAGGATGGGACATGCTTCATGGTCCTACAGGGTCAGGTTGGAACCTGCCACCCCCGTGTTCACCGGAGAGCCTATGGAGGGGTCTGGAGGCTGATGTCCTGGGAAGGGGACTGGGGGATGAGGAAGGCCAAGGTGACAGATGGAGAGAAACCAAGGTCTTGAGTAGGTGGATCTTTCATTCTATCACTAAACTGAGGAGGGACACAGGATGGGATTTTACAGCCTGGAAATGATTAAAACTATATTTTCTTGTCCATCCACAGAAACTGCCGACTGCAGTTCCGACTAGTTCATAGTGCACAGCAAGACTTGGGGCACATATGGCAGACTGAGGACTCCCTTGGAACAGATGTGAGAGATTTTCTCAGGTGACACATTACTCAGGAGATTCCCCCTTTTCGACAAGAGAGCTGAGAGTGACCAGCATGAAAGAAAATGAGGTGGGTTCAGAAGGAGAGAAGCAGTGAGAACAGCTCTTCCAGTGAGCAGCACACCATTACTCCAGGTGACGCCTGTGCTCTGTGCACACTCCTGTCCCCACACTCGATGTGGAGGAAAACTTTGCCCCTGTCCATGTCCCTGGCCAGCCCAGTGATGTGTGTCTTCACCTTCCCCAGAAGGACCTCACCTGGACATGGCATTCCCTCCCTCACATGTCCCTGTGAAGCTGCCCAGAGACTCATTTCAGGTGAGCACCTGGGTGTCTCCGTGTCCCACTTCTCAAGGAGCTTTAGTGACCATGACCTCAGATAGGTGGAACCTGCTGAAGGTCTTGTCATTTCCCTCACTCCCATGCCAGGTGAGAGCAGAGGGAAGTTTTGGGCACCTGCCTGGTGGACACTGAAAAGTGATAATTAATGAGAATAAAATAAGTACAGTGAAGGGAGGGTCCATTCTTTGCAGCACAGTCCTGTGTTTGATGAGCATCATGCCCATTGTGCGTCCCTAAGTCATCCTGCTGGAATAATGGGCAGAGTGTGCTGGGCCCTAAGGATCTGCCACCCACATCATATCTCCCTTGAAGAGACACCTGGGTACATGTAATGGCCCCTGCCATTGAAGGACTTGACTTACCCACTGGTCTTGTCCCCATGACTCCATCTCACACTCTTCTCTCTCAGCTCAGGGACTCCCCTGACCCAGAATCCTGGACAAGGCCCCCTCTTCCCATATTCCATTTTCCCTGGAAACACCCAGGGGAAAGTTTCACCCCTTCTTAGGTACTGACCCACAAATGCGATCCTCAATCGACCTTCCTTGTCACCCCTGTCTCCAGCCCTGACTCCATTCCCACCCTGCAGGGTCAGGAGGCAGCACTGCTCTTGGGACACCTATGCACACCTCCCATGAGTGCTGGTGTGATGTCTGTGGCATCACATACAGTAACTAACATTCACTGTGAGAATCCATGTTAAAGGGATGCAGTGACATTAAGTCCATCCACACCCTTGGGTGACCTTCATCACCATCCAAATCCAGAGATTCTCACTTTCTCCCACTGAATTCAGGCTATTAAATAGTAACTTTCACTTCCTGCCTCCACCCCAGACACCACATTCTGCATCTGTTCTCAAGTCCTTGACCACTCCAGCTTCTCACAGACATGGACACACACAGCCACTGTGATGTGACATGTTTCTCTAGGCACTGTGTTGTCAATGATCATCTATATTTTAGAAACTGTCCGCTTTTTCTTCTTTTTAAGGAAAATGATATTTTGCAAGGAGGTTGGAGCACATCTTGCTGTTCATTTACCTCTTCCTTTTCTCTGATTTTCACAAGGATTCAGTTGATTTAATAGGTGTTTTTTGCTGTTTTCCTGCCAAGAAGTAGGGGGCTTGGCACAGGGAAGGCAGAGAACAAACTCAGGTGAAAAATGTCAACACATGATCACCTGAAATGGACAGGGAGCACCTTTGATTACAGGCCGTGCTGAGTTAGGAAGAAGATTAGTAATTTCCATAGTGATCTCGGGGTCCTCTATCATGGTCTCCCCTCCATCCTGGAAGCAGCAGGATGAGGAGAAAGGGGAGGGAGGGACACAGCCTGTGGGACAAGGGCAGGGCCGATGGGGCCCTGGGTCTGACAGGAACTGTGTCCACCTTCAGGTCACACTTGACTCAACCTGGAGTCCTTGGGACAGGGGCACACATCCTTCCCCTGCCCTGTGGCTCTGAGGAAATTAGAGACTGTGAAAAAAAGGGGGTTCGGGGAAATGGAGGAGAACATGTATGTGAGGATCACAGAGGAGTCTCAAGTTTAGTTCCAGTCCAAGGACACAGCCCTGAGATGCAGGAGGAGCCTGTGTGTCCTGGGTGATGGAGGCAGGACAAAAGCTCATGTGAATGCTACTAAACCAAGGTCCTGGGCAAGAGGGTCCCATTGGCCCCCTGCAGGGCTTCCATGGTCAGGCAGCACCCACACATTAGGAAGGGCAAATGGTCTCACCCTGTTCACTGATATAAAACACCCTCACAGAGCCCTGGCTGGTGGGGTAGATCCATTCCCAGTCAGAGCACATGCCTAGGGGACAGTGCTGCCCCTGGTGCTCATGAATGACCGTGAGTGGCACTGATGTCCCCTGCTGCCCTGAGCAGCCCTTGCAGTCCAGCTGTCTGGTCTCCCTCAGGGAGACTTGTGTCTGCAGGACAGGAGAGCCAGTCTCCCTCAGTTTATAACAAGTTTCCCACAGAAATCTGTTGGAGGCCTGGCTGGAGTGGCTCCCACTGACATGTAGACTGAAAGGTCACGCAGGGCACATGCCTGGGTTTACATCCATGTTCCAGTTGTGGATGAATGAGAGGTAACCTCTCACATATGGAGGTTTCCCTCCCTCTTTTTTCTCTTCCCTCACCCTCTCCTTAATGATAAGACAAATGCATTTAAAAAAATAAAAGGAAAAAAAGAAAACAATATTAAAAAAAATAAGATGAGCAGCTATATTGTTCCTAAACATGAAACATGAAAAGATAAGGTAGAAAAAATTACTTTTCTTTTTTCATATATGTGTTTTTAACGTTGATTTTCTGAAATTTAAAAATAAAACAAATATATATTTGCAAGGCCAGGTGAAATTAATGAAAATAAATCTTTATTTCACATTAGCATTTAAATTACATATTTCCTCCATCCACTATACGTAAGTCCTATAGATTTTAAAAGCCAAAAATTTTTCACAATCATCCAGGAAATGAGGAGCAAGAGGGTGATGTGCAACAGGGGAGACAGAGACCTGAGGGGACAAGTTCCTGGGGGATGACCCCCACCGCTTGCGTTGAGGCATGACTGTTGGAGGAAGACATGTGAGGGCATTGTGTGCATGTTGGCGACAGAGTGTGAGATCAGCACACAGGGGCCTGGATGGGCTCTGCTCCTCTATGTGGGAAACATTTCCAACCACGGGGAAGACAAGAGCACTCAGGCTGGTTCTTAACCAAGGAAGAAAAAGGACACACAGGAACCTGGTGAAGGGAAGGTCCCAGGCCCAGGGTAGAATCTCATTGTTAAAAATATAATGTCATTAATCCTTTTGCTATTTGCAGTGAGAATGGGGAAGATGAGAGTCGCAAAGACAGAAAAAGTGTCCTAGATGCAGCCAAGAGCTTTGAGAGGAAACCCTGCTCCAGAGGGGAAGCACCTTCTTTCCCCACCAGGCCTGCACCTGCTCCTGGGGATGCCAAGAGGTCCCCTGTGTCCTGAGTGTCCCCTGGTGCCCTGAGCACTCCCTGCAGCCAAGCCCTCCTTTCTCCCACAGGGAAGTCTGTCTGAGCTTATGCTGTCTTCCTGTTTCTCTACGCAGTCATACACAGCTGTGTTTTTGGTTCTCAGGCTGTTCATTCACAGGGACAGCACGTGTTGGCTACTCTCTCTGTCGAAGGTAAATTGGCCCCTCAAAGAGTTGGCATATGATGTGGTACTTTCATCCTCATTAATGTCTGAGACCCACTCCAGCCCCTTCCCTGGAGCCTGGAGGACCCCGTACACATCGGAGCTACTAAAGGTGAATCCAAGGGCTGCGCAGGAGAGTCTCAGAGATGCCCCAGTCTGATGTCTCCCCCAGACTTCACCAGCTGCACCTGAAAACATAAGGACATCCTGATCTGAAAACTGTTCCCTGTCAACTGTTTCTCTAATTCATATACACTCACACTCTCAGTGTGTCTCATTCTCTGTAAATTACCTCTTAAAATAGCAACAAGGAAAACCCAGCTGAGCCCAAACTCCATGGTGAGTGATCTGTGTCCTGTCCTGAGCAGGGTCTGGGAACACCTGGGAATCCTGGGCTGAGCTCCTCATTCCAGAGCTGCAGGGCTGAGGCTGGGCTGCTTTTCATGAGCAGAAGGACCCCATTTGCATGTGTTCCAACTATATCAGAGTTGTAGTTTTGGACAGAGACTTGAAAGGCGTGGCCCCAACATGTGACTTGCTCCATGGTCATGTTTGTTAACAATTACTCCCCAGCCTTGGATAGTTTGGTCCAGGAAGTTGAACTGCCATCCTGTTATTGAAGGTTGCAGGTTCAATCCCAAATGTGGGCAGTTATGATCCTCTGTCTAGTCATGTATGGGAGGCAAAGAATCTCTCTTTTTCTTCCTCTCTCATTGTCCCATCATTTCAAATCTTTTTTTCTCTCTGATAACAATGAAAAAGTCTTCTGATGAAGAGAAAAATAATAATATAGAAATAAAATGATTACTTCCTGCAGAAGTTCCTGCATTCTCCCCAGTGACCCAATGGCTCCAGGAGTCAGGTCCATGCCCTAGGAGAGTAAACTGTCATGAATGAAGAGTTTTAAAGTGAGAGATGCCTTTTAGGGTCACCGGTAGTGAGCACACGCATAGAAATCAACCATTGCGACCTGAGGAGTTAGGAAGTTCTATCTGACCCGGTTTCCCATACGGAGTAATCAGACTACGGACTAAGAACAGAGTGTGACCCTACAGCACGTGGACCCAGGATTGGAGGAGGTGAAGTCTCTGGAGATTCGGAGACAGGAACATGAATTCCACAGAGAAACAGGCACTGCTCCTGGGCCATATTGTCTAAGTGCAATTTGGGGCTCAATGTGCGGCAGCCTCTCTATGTCGTGTTTGTCCTTATTCTCTAGACTCTGTGGTTAAAACAGTTTCAAACCTTTTCATTCATTTTCATGTGTACACATGCCACTGGGAAAAGCCATCACCTGGTCCTCATTAGATTGGCGACACCTGGGCAGTGAGTCACACTCAGTCATTAACCTCAATCTTGGCGAGATCTACTTAGGTGAAGGTGTAGTTAAATATTGTCATGTAAGCATCCTAAAAGTATAGAAATTCCATTATGAAAAACCGCAATGCCAAATATGAGTATGATATAACTGAAAAGAAATGAAATCATAATTGGTATGAAGAACATCATTTTTTTTCATCCATTGATTACATTTAAATTATCTTCCGTCCCTGCAGCCACTCTATATAACTTTCTCTACACCAGGTCACCTATGGCATTTCTTTCTTATTTATATCATCAGCATCTGTTGGTCTGTGTAGTGGTGACATAGTCCTCATCAGGAACTAAGGGACAGGTTCATCCTTGGTTCATCACAAGTAAATTTCAGGAACTCCATCCCTTATCTCTTTCAACCATTTTTGTGCCTGCATATACCACTGGGGAATGGTGTCACCTGGCCCTCATGAGATGGCTGTCATCTGGGCCTGAAGCCCCATGCTGCATGGAACAGTGAGCTGAACTGGGAAGAGAGTCTCCCAGGTGCATGGGTGGTGGATAAAGCAACCCTCGGGCCACCACTTTCAGGGTTCTTGGTCTTTATGTAGTGATTTTCTTCCTCATGCAGCTGGTTCAAGTTTTTTTTATTTCCTTTCCTCAGAAATAGACTCACATAATCATGTAGTCATTGATATGTTGAATTGGCAAGAAGGCTATTTTTATATAATATG